TAGTGATTTCTGGATATTTACGAGTTTTTAGGTTAGAAAAATCCGTAACTTCTGTAGATGAACATCTTATACGCCGTGATGGTGATCTTTGGAACCGACTCATCCTCCGCTTTTAGAAAATATATATTAGGTCATTCCGAAAGTAATTTCGCTTTTTTCAAACGGACGCCACATTCGCTGGAACAAACCTTTCTAAGAGATCTTGGTAGCGTTCGATGCAGAACTTCATTCTCTTTCTAACGGTTATAAAAATGTTGCAAAACATTCAATGAGCTTTCAGAAAATAACCAAAGTCTGCGACCCATGCTTTTTGAGATGGTCATGTTTCACGATTTTTTAAAACTTTCATATCGAACCTCAGAAGGAGTTCAAGTAACGATTCGATAGAGTAAATCTCATAGAATATAGTGCAACTTTTTTCTCCTTTCCATAGCTTGTCATACACTTTTAACAGAATTTTAAGTGATGCTACCAATTTCCATACTTGGGCAGCTAAATCCTCGTAGAACATCAAAAGAAAGGCAGCTCGCGCACTATTCGATGCAGCATTTTCTCTTCTTTCTAACATGTGTTTTTTGTTTCCGATTCGTTTAGTTTCCGGGTAAAAATCACCATAACTCATTTTTTTAGCGAGCCCCAGGCTGTACCCGAAAAACTCGAAATTGATATTTCGAACCCGTGAACTCTCGCTTGCTTTGTAAAATTAATGCTAACTCATAGTATCATCTTGTTAGTCTCAAATTGCGAAAAATTATGATATTTGATGCGATTGTGGCTGAGGTGGGACTGCCGAAATCCGATGGTTCTGTTAAAAAATCTTTTAAAAAATAACGGCGAGCTACGAGAAAGAGAAAAAAGTAATGTTGTATTCCATAAAGTTTACTCTATCGAACCGTTACTTGAACTCCTTCTGAGGATTGACATGAAAATTTTGGAAAATCGTGAAACTTGACCATCTCAAAAAGCATGAGTCGCAGATTTTGGTAATTTTCTGAAAGCTCTTCGATTGCTTTGCAATAATTTTTTAACCATTGGAAAAAGAATGAAATGCTGCATCGAACGCTACCAAGACCTCTCTTGAATCTTTGTTCCAGCGAATGTGGCGTCCGTTTGAAAAAAGCGAAATTACTTTCGGAATGACCTAATACTTTGCTTGGGGTTCGATGAAAAAAGTGCCTGAGTGAAGGGTGTCCTAGTGATTGCTGGAGATTTTCAAGTTTTTAACATAAAAAAATTCATAACTTCTGTAGATGAACGTCTTGTACGTCGAGGCGGTCACCATTAGAAGCGCCTCGTCCTCCGCTTTCAGAAAATATATATTTTGCCTGGGGTCCGTTAGAAAAAGTGCCGGGTGAGACTTTTATAATGGGAGTGCTCAAGCAGACGTCTTTTTACAATGGTAAAAAAGCCTGTACTTGAGCACTCCCATTAGAAAAGTCTCACCCACCCTTCACCCGGCACTTTTTCTAGCGGACCCTTGGCAAAGTATATATTTTCTAAAAGCGGAGGACGAGGCGCTTCTAATGGTGACCATTTCGGCATACAAGATGTTTATCTACAGAAGTTATGAAATTTTTTATGTTAAAAACTCGAAAATCTCCAAAAATCACTAGGACATCCTTCACCCAGGCACTTTTTTAAATGGACCCCAAACATATCATATATTTTCTGAAGGCGCAGGATGAGGCGGTTCCAATGGCGACCATATCGGCGTACAATATTTTCATCAGCAGAAGTTATTAAGTTTTTTATGTCAAAAAATCGAAAATCCTCAAAAAATCACTAAGCAAACCGTTTACTGCACTTTCTTGAGGGGATACCAAACGTTCTATATATTTTCTGAAAGCGGAGGACGGAACGATTTTAATGGTGATCATCAAGGCGTACAAGATGTTCAACTACAGAAGTTATGAATTTTTTTATGTTGAAAACTCGAAAATCTCCAGAAATCATTACTCACATTTGTCACCAAGCCCTTTCAACAACCTTCTCCTTTCCTATACATAAACAATTCACGTACAAATATCTTCTTTGCTTGACACATTGACGACCAAGGCGTTTCGCGGAGCACAAAAGAAAACTCACGGAGTGGGTTTAACACAAAATAGTAGCCATTTCAGCGATACACATGGTGTGCCAAGCCTTGACACACCATGTGTGTCAAACGGTCATCAATGTGTTAACCTTATCTCACTGTTGATTATTTTTCTCGGCTTTTGGTGAAGGGGGTCATCTTGGTCCCGGCTCAGGGGAGAAGGGAGGGTGAGAAAATTCTCACACTATCTACCTGTGCTCCGGAGCAAGAGCGGCAAAACCCTGCTGGGCAGACCCCAGCACCCTCCCATTTTGCCCTTCGGAGGTATGGCATCAACTGTCTGAGGAGGCTTCCGAAGTGCACGGCATGCTGGGATTGTATTATATGTCAGCAACAGTCTGATGAGAACACTTGGAAAGATAACGTGAAAGCTTCCATTGAGGCTCAATTATTATCTATTACAGACGCTTGCGACCGAAGAAAGTGTAAAGCACAAAAAAGTCGGCATACTATGGCCAAGCATCTGTTATTGAGCAAATAAACAAAAAATAGGCGGTCAAGCTTTGCTTGCGCTTTGTAATAAGAGGTAATGCTCGAATAGCTAGATTACGAGCTCTCGTTATATGATGATTTAGATATCTTATGTCTGCCTACTCCCTTTGTTTTGGCCTTATTGCAATGTAAATTTAAAATATTCCCAATTTTCTTCTCTTATCGTTTACCTGACATCAATACTTTTTACATTGTAAAAGACAGTGGCTCGGGAAAATCGCGAGTGACAGGTTTTTACAACGACATGGCCTTCTGGACCAGCTGAGTGAGGTACTGTGCTTGAAAAGTCAAAAAAGTGTTTTCTTGGCGTTTTCCGAACATGGAGGTTGCTGGAGAGGCGGGCGAGGGATTCCCGTCAATGTATCGTATTGATTGCTTGAGCCGATCAGCCAATTGCCGCCAAAACAGGTGCACTTGCTGGTTATGGCGGGGCCCCGCCTCTCCAGCAATCTGAAAGGCGGTAAACTCCAAAAAAACTTTTTGACATTTCAAGCACAGTAGATGACTCAGCTGGTCCAAATGGGCCATGTAGTGAAAAGCCCCAGTCGTGATTTTCCCAAGCCACTGCCTACAAACAAACAATTCTTAGAAGAAAAGCGGCAACGCTTAGAAAAAGAGATCTATGAAAATCTGAAAGCTTCTCAGTTTCGTTTTCGTCATCTGATAAGCGCTCAAGCTCATTACGCGTTAAACTTATGGCAAGCACTATCAAAACGCTTGGCCTGTTTTTCTCATAGATGAGTTGTCTTGATTTTGGCAAGCGTACAAAAAAATACGTTTTTGCAGGAGTGCTAAAGGTCGCACAAGAAGGCTATACTGCATTTGATTTTCTCAGACAATCGACGGGACTCCTCCGCCGGACAGTCCGAAACTGCCAGAGTCGCGCCGGACCCAGTTGACCAATGAGAGAGGGGCAAATGGGCGGTCCATCGCGGTGACATCACTGGCAGGCAAGTGGGAGGCTTCTCCGGCCCTGCTGCAAAGGTCCGCCATTTCTCCGGCGCGACTCTGCCAGATTTGGCGGACTCCGCGCCGGAGAAATTTGCCCGGCGCGAGTCCGCCAAATTTGGAAGAGCCGCGCCGGAGAAAATCGGAGGGGTCCGGAGCAGAAATGGGAGGCCTCCGGAGCAGAAAATGGGAGGTATCCGGAGCAGAAAATGGGAGGTATCCGGAGCAGAAAATGGGAGGTATCCGGAGCAGAAAATGGGGGGTATCCGGAGCAGAAAATGGGAGGTATCCGGAGCAGAAATGGGAGGTCTCCGCCGGAGAAATAAGAGGGCTCCGCCGGACAAATGGGAGACCCACCGCTGGGGATTCGCCGCGACCCTGCCATTTCTCCGGCGGAGGGGTCCTATCCGCTGTCTGAGTTGTTGCAAAATTCATAATTTCATGATACCGTAAAAGATGCTTGGCTTCTATGCGCGGGTTCCCACCATTTTCCACAGGCACCTTATCAACTACTAATTGCTGCACATGTATAGTCACTAGTCAGCTCAGTGGACGAATTTGAATTCAAACTGGAGCAGACCAATCGCGGCAGAGCGCGACATCCGTACCCTCAGTTCAAAACTGCGCATAATTCTTTTTGGTTTTTTGCACCGTTGCTTATTAATTTAAGTACTATGCTAATGTTTCAAATGTGTGAAAAAAAATTGCTAAAAATTGCTTAAAATTTGCTAATGAGTCAAATTTGTGTTTTGTTATTTTTAGTGTTGTTTCGCGCAGTCATGATCGGTTTCTGTTAAGGTGATTTCATTTAATCTTCTAAAAAAGATGCAGATGGTAAATTTTTGCTACATTGATCACTAAAGCAACACTTCTGCACGTGTTACTTACAAAAGAAGAAATTTTACAGCAAAGATTTCCCATCTGTATTGTTCTGTAATTACTGGTATCCAGACTTGTAACGCGCATAGCAGTACAAAACAATGCTCGACAACAATAGAATAGTATTCTGAAAACATGCTTCTAACACGAAGATCAACAAAAACTACAGTGAAAAAATTATGAAGAAGCAGGCGCAAAACCTGAACTGAGGGTTCAGTGTCACGCTCTGCCGCCACTGGCCGCTCTTGTTCGAGTTCGAATCCGCCCACTGACCGACTAGTTGGGTGAGGACGACTATAACATTGGAGGTGTACTCAAGGGCATGCGTGTAGGCTAATTTTCAACTACTGCGTCCTAAAACTGCGAAAGCTACTAGCGTAATCGAGTGAAATTGTTTTTCATTGGTAAAACGTGCTCGAGTTTAATCGTACTTTCGAACTTCAAATGCTTTGTTTAAGAGCAAGTTATGGCCCTATAAATAGTTCACGGCAAACCTGAGCTTTACTTGACGATGTCTCTGTATATGTTTGCTGTAAGTCTATATTTTTCCGCTTCTAATACGAAAACACAACTTTGATTTCAGGCTATGCTTCTTATCGCTCCTGTAGGAGCAGGTGAATCCGGACCTGAGGCAGAAGAACCCGCTCAAGCACGAGTAGGAGAATCCGCTCTCGAAGTGGTAAGAAAAGCCTTAGCTTTTGTCTTGAGAAAATAGATGGATTCTGAAGCAAAAAAGCTTCCTTCACAGAAAGTAGGAGATGGCGTGGACAGATGTAAAGAAGGGGAAGACAAGGATCTGAACGTCTTATTGGGAAGCGCTTTTCATGACCGTTATGGGCATACTTGGGTGAGTCGTGGATGATCATAAAGTAGTGGCCAAAAACCGTCTACCTTTCTTCATGCGTACGGCATTACAATCAAATAATCTGTTCTTTTGAGAATTGCAATCGCAGTCACGCAGCAGAAGCTCACAATCTGCTTCAAGAGGTCCTCGCAAACGGATTCGAACCAGTTAACCAAGCCGAAAGCGTCATATCGCTGCGCAATGAGAAAAAGTACGCTCAGCTGATAGTTTAGTTATTTTTATGCTCAGAAAGTGCTTCAACTTAAAGGGATCAAAAATCAGTTGACAAGGACTACGCTGATTACCTATCCCTTTACTGGCTTGATCGTCTCAACGAGGTAAGCCAGTAATACTGCAGCTGAAATATACTTTGCAGTAGAGCAAAAAAATGTATTTGAAAGTAAAAAAACTACTGGCGCACGCAAAAGCCCCAAGACTCGTGCTTTGCCTTGAGATTGTCACTTCTGGAAGAATTACAGAATTTGGTCACTACTACAAAACACTGGCGTACCGAGTGGGGGGGGCGACAAGGGGTCGCGAAATTTTTGAAAGTTACTTACATGGATTATAAAACTGTGCAAATGACTTGTCTGCACTTGTAAATAATTAAACAAATTTTTTAAATTTTTTAAAAATTCAAATTAGCCTTGTAAAAAATTTTTTTGGGGGGGGGGCGTTTTTTGGCTTCATCCACGCCCCCTTTTTCTGAAATTTCGGGGTTCTGAGCCCGCGAAAATTTAGGGAGCATACCAAAAAAATTTTCGGAGTGCGCCGAGCCGAAATCCTGGGTACGTTACTGCAACAAAACAGTCACTGTAGTGTATCATAGTGTCTATGTTGCAAAAGCCACTTTGAGTAGGTTTGGCTTAAGGTGGTATTAAAACTTTGTAAGTACGAAAGCCTCGTTGACTCTTTTTAAGAAAGTGCAAAGAAGGTTTGAGCACTAGTATATAGGGCGTGGAATGTGAATGGAAGTCATGTGAGAGAAGTAAAATCTTGTGAGTGAAACAAAAATGTATTTTGTTTCTCTCACAAGATTTTACTAACTTGGAGAAAGCTTACCACGCCTTCAATCCACAAAGCTATGACTTTTTACATATTGTTAACTCCTCATTGTGCACATACGCATCAGATTTGTATATAGCATTGTTTGTGTTGTAAGCGAGCTTTATTTCAAGGTAGTATTTAACTCCCATGTTCATGCCGTGCGCACATCAGAGTTAGAAATTGTTACGCTGAGAGGATAGGTTTGATAAGAAACTGGTAAGCATGCGATGCGGCTACAGGGAAGAAGTAAGCTTAAGAATTGAAGACGGTGAAAGGTGATGGTTTGTGGGAGGGGGGGGGGGGGTATGAACAACAGCTTATGTTAAATTGACGTGCAAGGTATTGACCAGCCCTTCAAGTTTTTTTCCTACGCAAATTTTATAAGAAAATTGGTTTTTCGTTAAAAAAAATTTAGTTCGTACTCTCCAAAAACGACACTCGTTCTGATGTCACACCCGAAAAGATATCCATCTGCCGCTTGCCGCCATGCCCAGCCTTAAGTAGGCGGTTTAAGTGGTCTGTAAGACGTCTGTTGCAATCACTTGCCTAATTGTACTGCTATACTGATACAAACAACTTTATTGACGCAACCAACGTTCTCTTCAAGATATCTGACCGGTCATGTCCACTTATTTAGATGATATTCTAGTAGATGATATTCTAGAGGGTGGGCGAAAATGAACGCGTGTTTCTCTGAGCGACGAAAGGAAATAAAAATTGCTTGATGGCTTATCAAGCATGCTTTCGTTTACACCAAATCATTACCATCGTAATAAGTTAGATTCGACTGCTTTATCTCCCGAAAAAATCTCAGTTCAATTCGTTAGCTAACTTACTCTGTACGCACGCAGGAACTTACAAACCTAAATTTCAAAATACTCAACTCTTGCTTTCAAATTGTGCTATAAAGTAGAGCAAGCCTTCATTATAATACTTATGCGAGGAAATTCTAGAAATTCATTCACAGGGGGCTTTTTATTATTCAAAAAAAAATGCTTTTAAAGCAGCACGTTGGAAAGCAGTGATATTTTCTTCCTTGTGCGATTGAAAATCGGAAATAGTCTTCTAACTCAGTTTCAAGACCATTTCGACATCGATCGCAATTGACACTTTCTTACACCTCTCATAAACGGGTAATGTTTTTTTCTCTTTGGGAACATGTGCATGGTCTTATGATCAACTTTTGCTTGGTCTTGTGATTGATTTTGAACATGAGGTAATTCTTTGTATGCAGGTGATTTCGCAAATAAATTTTCATGTTCCTTAAAAGAACAAGCTCTTGCTAATGGAACTAGAACTATGTGGTAGTACAAAAAGCGTTCCACAATTTTAGCTTGAAAAGAGAGCAAAATATGAAGGTTCTTTCAGTTTATTCCTTTTTTTGAAGACTATTGATGATTAAATTTGAGCTCATGCTTTCATGGTTTTTTTCCATGTTAACTGTGCAAAAACTGGCGCCACTTATTTTGCCGCTCCTGTATATGATTCTGCTATACTTGCTTAGAATGACAAAGTATTCACAACTTGAAGACTGGTGTTTCCATTTCTGGCACTTAACGACCTGCATTTTACGACATAAATCTCTTCCTGATGCGTTCTTGTGAGGCAGAGCTGTCGTTTGACAAATTAGCAAACTTGAATCAGAGTTTTACTAAAGTATCTAGATTCCCTCTACCTGAACAATCATATGAAAAGGCCAAACCTATATGCACGAATCTCGAAGAACGTCATATCTAAGAGATCTGGGAGCTATCCGAGCTCCGTAGCAGTTTATCATATTCGTAATTTTTTAATCTCAGAAGAAAGATGCCAAGTGTTCAAAAAAAATCTAACGCACTTTTGCCGCCGTCTAGAGGATTTCCTAAAGTTAGTTTTTTTTAGCTTGCAGGAAGCTCCTATCTACTTATTAGGTGGGTGCAAAAGTTCTGTCGTTTCATTTTCAAAAATTTGTAATTTCGCCAGATTTCAACGGATTTGACTGCCTGTAATTTTATTAGAAAGAATAGGTCTTCCGCTTTCAAGCGCTTTTTAATGGAGCTTCTGTTTCACACTGAGTGCCGAGATAAAAATAAAAAACTAAGACCATGTAAACTTTGACCATTTTAAGTTAGGTCACTAAAAATCTGGAATGCTGCAGAAAAATCTAAAATCGTCAGTACATATGTTTTTTGGCCTACTCTTTACAACTGTGAAGAGTTTGTGCTGTTTGGACGTCTCTTTGAGAAGTTATGATTTTCGCGAAAATTCACAAATTAATTGATTTTGGCGTTTTCCATGGTAAACTCGATATTCATAACATCTCACGGAGACGTTCAAACAGCACAAACTTTTCACAGATGCAAAGTGTAGGCCAAAAAACATATGTACGGAAGATTTCAGATTTTTCTGCAGCGTTCCCGATTTTTGATGACCTAACTTAAAATGGTCAAAGTTTGCATGGCCTCAGTTTTTCATTTTTATCTCTGCACTCAGTGTGAAACAGAAGCTCTACAAAAAAGCGCTTGAAAGCGGAAGACCTATTCTTTCTAATAAAATTACAGGCAAGCAAATCCGTTGAAATCTGGCGAAGTTACAAATTTTTGAAAATGAAACGACAGAACTTTTGCACCCACCTAATATTTACTTCGTTTCATACAAAAGATTCACAGTCCTCTCGTCATTTTTATATTTGTTGTAAAACATTTATAGAAGTTCAATATTAAGTTGTAACATATCACACTTTTTTACTTCCCGTTAAAAACTTTAGAGACTTCAACAAAGTCTGATATGTTACAATCAGAGGAATAAGCGGAGGACTCTCCAGTGGCTCACTTTTATGTTCAAAAATACGAGTTACATATTTTCGCTTACATTTGTCTTGCTTATAACTCTGCTTTTCTTGTCAGTTATCTCTTTTGACTAGTTATTTCGGTCACTTATACATACCACATCAAAATTCACACAACAAAACCGCTTACTCAATCAAAACTTGCATTCCCGTTATCAATATCGTGCTCGTAATGGGATTCCTCCAAAATTTCACGACTTCAAATCTGGAAGAAAACTTGTGAAGACGTGAATTTGTAAGCTCACAGTATGGCGACGAGCACAGATGAGGGCCTGATTAAGCATGGTCCGACGTTTCTTGCATGATTTAACTATCCCTCTCTTACAACTTCATTATAAGATACTTTAGCTGAAAAAAGTAGACGTTAACAGTGAATCCAAGAATCAGCCACAACTTGCGGCGAGCTCAGCAAGGGAATAAACTGGATGGCACAATTTCTTCAAAAAATCAAGATCTAGGAATAATAGACTCGCTGATTACGAAATTCGCATCTGATTTGCAAAATAGCTGCTTACTATAGGGCTACTGTGAAAATTCTAGGTAGCATTGATTTGATGTTTTCTAGCCTTTCGGCCTTACATCGAAGGAGTTTCTGCTAATAAATTGGGGGCTGCTTTTGAATGATGTCTATGAGAACTCTCTCACAGGGCTGGCTACTGTCTACGCTATGGAAAGCTCAAGCCCCCTTAGGGTGGACAGTGCTTTTAATGGTTACGGTTATCTATCGCGCTGTTTTTTCGCGTATGCAGAACTCGTAGAAATTCGTGGAGCTAGAAGTTATTGTAGTGCTCGCACAAAACAGATCTCAAAGCCCTGTTTCAATAATTATGGTCCATCGATCAAGCTGCCCTGCTATGTTTGAGTATCACATTGACATGCTCATAGAATAATGCTCGAAAGTCGAATAATATTCGAAATTTAATTGACATTCAGTATTCGAATATTACTCGAAAGTTGAGTAATCAAATTTCGATTTTCGAATGTTATTCAATAGTCAAATATTCGGAAATCTCTATTCCCGAATATTATTAGGTAGTCGATTAATTGAAAAAATGCTGAATTTCTAAGTATACTGTGCACTGTGGCATTAGTAGCAGCCGCTGCAATCATCGCAGTTACCGCATTAGATAATTACTGTCAGCAGTTTTTAGAAGTTAGTTATTTTTTTTCGTAGTTTTATAGTATCCCTACAATGTGCCAGCAGCAAATCAATGTAAATGCTGCTATCAGCACGTTGAGTAATCCATCTATACAAAAATTTAAAGAAATTGGTGGAAATTGAATGCTTGCCATACTTTTACGGTGCTCATGAGTGGCAAATCTTCATGTCAGAAGATGTGCCACGCGTATTCGAGTTGATAGGCTTTCTTGAATTCGAGTTCGTCCACTTCGAACCGCCATATAAAGATTCTACGGTTTGCTGAAATCTTCCGAAGTGCAGCAGCTGCTTGATTGATTAGAGCCGCATTGTATGCTACCCGTTTTCTTTGATGATCTGTAGGCAGCGAACCCAATAATGACAGTCAACAATTTGTAATATTTGCAATATTCGCACAATATTTGCTTAGACAAGTATTGTTTTAGATTCTTAGAAACGAGACGACAAAAAGGAAGACATCGGTTTTTCCGGTACCTTTTGGGTGCGCGACCACGTTCACAGATTCCGATTATGAATACACGGAAGTTGAAGTAACCATGGATAGACTAAGGGCAGCTTGGCCCAGAGCAACTGAAGCAGAGCTATTGAAGATGTTCAATGAGGCAAACAAACCCGTGAATGAGAGCGAGTTGAGTTCCGGAGAAGATTCGACCGAGGCCCAATCGGGTCCGTCACGCCTTACTGTCTGCGTTTTGTTGTAAATTAGTATAGCATAAAGTTTTGATGTACTGCAATCTCATCTCGCTTGATACGTGGAATTTGCTGCATCACTGTTGCTTCACTTTATAATTCATGCAATAATATTGCCTGCATAACACACGATAGAATACATGACTTTATGTCTCCTAAGCTTTAAAGCTTTAGAGAAGAATTCTTCGACTTCTGGTGGCTAGGACTCGTTGAGAAAAGGACCAGAAACAGGGACTGAACTGCTTATCGCCTATTGCTCGCAGCAAATTGGCTCCGTGTTACAAGCAAATTCGACTAACAAGGGAAGTGCTTTCAGTGGCCGTGGCCTTTCGATATGAGATGCATATCATCTGAAGCAGTTTCGAACGCTGATTTCAAATCTGCTTTCCCTTTCTGCGGAGCGCTCTTCTGAGAATAGTTTTGGAAGCCTGAATACCCTGTTTTGAGGCGCTACTTGAGTTTGAGGACGCTGCTACGTGCGTTGGTGGTGCAGTGGTGTAATGGTTAGTTGTTGGCAAAAGGTCGATGGTTCGAATCCTGTTAGATTGAGTTCATTTGAAAGGTTTTAAATTCATTCATAACACCTCTCCAATATTGTTCTCCTAATAACCTAATGGGTACTTGCGAGCATGAGAAACTTATGGAGGTTTTCATCATATGTTGTTCCCGTTGTGAAAGATGTCTGTTGCTCACTTTGTAATTTCGCTTCACCTCTGTACATAAAGTTTTTGCGGAGAAAACCAAACCTCAACAAGCAAGCGGTTCTGCCAGAAAATCTTTCCCTTAAGTCACAATTGCCAAGGGCATTACAGTAAGTTCTGCAGACGATTAGAGTGGTTTTTGAACTCAAATTCGTAGCGCAAAATGGTACGCTCTGCACTGGATTTAAACCGTCGGCCTTTCGCCTTCACCGCCAACAACTAAGCATCACACCACTGCACCACTAACGCACATAGCAGCGCTCTCTAACTCAGGGATCGCCTTTAAAATAGGATTTTCATGCGTCCAAAACTATCTTCAGAAGAGCGCTCAGCAGAAAAGGAAGGCAGATTTGAAATCAGCGTTCGAAGCTGCTTCAGATGGTATGCATCTCATATCGAAAGGCCGCGGCCACTGAAAGTACTTCCCTTGTAAGCAGACACGTCGTGGATACGTGCACGTTTGGAGCGACTTATCCTGCATGTAACTTGGCGGCACTGTAAGAGACGACGTAGCTCTGCTCAAGCAGCCTATGGTTTGGAGAATATTAAAAAAAAGTTGCGCCTATCGCTTGTGGAACTCTGTCATAGGTTTTCGGAAACTTCCAGAAAAAATGTAGTCCCTCGGAACTTTTGCATGCGTACTTTTCCGAAACTTTTGCAGCCGTAGCCTCAGGGAATTTTGCACTAAAATCCTTCAGAACATCATTAAAAGCCCATCGTTTCCCATGTAGATATTATTTGAGGAAATACTAGAGAGACATTTACTAATAACGACAAAAAACATACACAACTCGAGTACAAGATTGTGACTGACATGTCGGTACTGCAGTACTACATTCGGTGCCAGAATGCAGATAATGACGCATGATCAATATCCATCAAAACACACAGCATTTTGTCGTAAAGGGGTCTCTTATTGTAAATCTGCAATTTTTATTCTAAGCGCTGGGAATGAGTATTTGCCGAATTAGCAATCAGGAAAACTTATGATTTCCTGCCTGTCAAATCTCCCCTCACCCGCAAAGCCAACGATGTACTGATCTCTACCAGTAAGTCTATACCAACATGTAATATTTGAAAACGCGAATTAGCTACCCTTGGAGCCAAATTGCCATTCTGCAGTACAGCAGTCAGTCCAGTTCAATTCAGTTCTGCTATCAAGCAATCATCATGCAGATATCCCGGTTGCCTTGCTGAGTTTCTCGGTGGACCATCTGAGTGTGCAGGTGTCCCAAAAATGTACCAACCGTTTGACCTTCAATAACTCTCCGTTGAGGTTTTGCAGCCACAGAAACCATATTTTAAAAGTAGCTTCAATTTAGTACAGTATAGAGCGAATCACAAACCTTTATAACTGTAGGATTACGGTAGGAACATTGAATTACATTCTATGCGATAGAATGGCCTCATTTTGCTTCTAAAGTATATCGCAACCCGACAACTCTTGCATTACAGACGCGATGAACCCAAATAGAAGTTTGCTCTTCAACGCAACTGGTTCTTTCATAAGTTGAAATGTACCATAACAGCTGGTTTCTCAAAGTTTCCAAAACGCGATTATGCGTTTCAGGACGCCTGAATATGTAACAATCAAACAGAAAATTAGACAAATCAGCAATCAGATGCGTGAAATCCTTGCTACTCATTTTTTCCAAATTTTTTGAAAGATTTATCAAAACATCTTAATGACATTTGCCTATACGGGGCAGCCCAGAAGTATATACACACTGTATGATCGTTAATATCTTTCTTCCAGAGAAGCATTTTACCTACCTTCATTAGCGTTCTGTGAGGGTGGGTTCAAGTTTACAGTGTCGAGCGAATCACAAGATCACTCTTCATTTATTGTGACATTACTGTAGAAGATTTGAAAAGGGTTGTGCAGCTGTTATGGCCACATTTCGCCTCAGAAGAAAACCAAACGGGAGCTGGAAACTTTTACACTAGAATGAATAAAAACAATCTAGGTTATTTAGAGCCCTTGTATCCATATATCATATCTACACTTTATTGCACTGCCTCGTTCACTAGTTATGAGAAATAATCCAAAAAAACTGTTTTTTCAATTTTTCCGAGAATGTGCTCACACCATTCAAAAAGTCTGAGAAACTCCTAAAAAATTATGCATTAAATTGTTCCTGATTATTTCGAGAAAAAATTTTTTTCAACCAATTTTTTCAAATTATCCATATTGAAGCAGTATGCTAAAAGTTCCTACCGTAATCCTACAGTAACAAAGAGCGATCGGTGATTTGCTCGATGCTGCAAATTTAAGCCAAGCTAGCTCTACAAAAGGGTCAAAAAATAGGCAAAAGTCTTCTCTATAGGAGAGATAATAACGTTCAAACAGTGTATACATGCAGTTAAGACACCTTGTGCGTTAAAAGTCTATATCGATTGCAATAGAATATCCCTATTCCACACTATTGAGATGGGGGATTTGTTTCCGTACTGTAATTTTAAGCGAAGCCACCTCGATAACATGGATGCTGACTGCACAGAAATCGGATCAAACGCTTGATACAATTTTTAGAACACCCTGTATATGCAAGTTGTTCAATTTTCAACTTTTCAACGGGCCTTCCATTGAACACATTACTCTGCTCTCGCTGCACAGCCATATCCTACACTATAGCGTATCAGATTAACTGGATCATCTTGCTTTGAATCCTTCCTCTTGGAGCGACTCGTTAACAGCTATGCTGTTAACGTTTGTTCTAGACAATTCATCGCTATGACGCTCTTCTCATGGTCGTCATAATCGATTTAGGAAGGGTTGCTTTGTTATACAGGGTTCCCAAAAGTATGTATGCACTGTTTGATCGTCAACATCTCTCTTCTCAAGAAGCCTTTTGCTTACAAGGGAACCGTGTCGAGTCGAAGTGGCTTTTCCAGATGAGATTCATACTGCTTTAAAGAGTATTGAGCGATGATTCCAAATCTGCCATCCAAATCTGCCAAGCGTTTCTGGACGCCGAGTTATAACCGTTCCTCGGAACGAAAAATGAATGCAGAATTTAGGTAAAATTGATTGTTACAATCTTTCCAGCGCTCAGATACAGCAATGTTAAGTATTAGCATATTGAATAAAATGTATCCATTGCATAAACAGCTCTGATACTTGACACTGGACCATCTGAGCAAATATGGGCGATTTTGCTTCAGTTTTGAGTTCAATTTTTTAACCTAAAAAATGAGCATAACTCGGCGTCCAGAGGCGCTTGGCAGATTTGGAAAGCAGATTTGGAATCATCGATTGATGCTCTTCAAAGCAGTATGGGCTTAGAGCTTCAGCTTAGATTTACAGTATGGAGCAAATCAACAATGGCTCGTTAGTACTATAAGATTACGGTAGAAACTCGCAGCAAATGACGTTACTATGAAATAGTCCGTTTGTTCGTAAATTCCCGAAAAAAAATCTGGAAAGTTTTCTAACAAGATTTTCATGCACTTTCAGTTCATAACAGTCGATTTTTTTAACACGTTGTCGACAGCGGGCATTTTTAGCTGTCTGCTTTGTGGGACAGTCCCATTTACAGTAAGTTGAGTATTTTTAGCTGAAATCAAACATGCCGTTATCTGCAGTATCCCTACAGTGGTTTTGAGAGGCAGCTAAGAAACGCGGAAGTAGTTCCTAGGAATAAAGCATAATAGAACTTTTAAAACCACGGTCATTGCATGACCCACCATGTGGGTCACATTGTCGTCAATGTGTTAAAGTTCAAATGGTATAATCGAATTTTTGGGGAACATCAACAAAAAGATTGTCACGAGCATCTGGCATAACTTATAAAAGAAGCATTGCGATAAAGTGTGAGTTTCTATTTGGAATCTACAGCTTTGAATGACCTAGTGTAGGAGTTTTAGCTTCTCTGATTTTCTTCTAGAGATAAAAAATGGTCCTTAATAACTTAAAACCCTTCTCAAAGTTCTTACCGTAATCGTACAGTAACGGGGAAAGATCAATGATTCGCTCTATATTGCTGATCTGAGTTAGAGCCAGCTCAAAATGATACTTGGAGGTAGGCAAAAGATCTTTTGGAAAGATGTGATATCAACAATCAAACAGAATACATACTTTTGCATACACCACCCATATTATGAGCAAAGTTAGCAAGTCAATGCATCCGCTCATGTACGCATCCGATTATCCGCAACTAAAGGATATTTACCAATTTATTAGGTTAAACCGAAAGTTCGTTCGCACCATTTTCAAAAAATCATAACTTCTTTCCGTCACGACGATTTTGCGCAATTTAAGTTTTATTAGAAAGCGATAAGCATGTAGTTTCCAATAGTCCCCTGGCACG